TGGTACCAGGGGGATCCTGTAACAAAAAATTGTGGTTGTGTATTTTGACCTATATAGTAGCTACCTGAGGGACTGGCTCAGGAGACTGCCTTCATTTTATTTGCCTCATCCTTGAGCTTTTTCAGGACTGACATGGCCTGCCAAGAGGCATTTGTCAAAAGCATTTAAAGGAAAATATATACTAGCTGCAGCCACCTATGGGAAGGAATAAAAGATGGGAGTGGTGGTATACATATTGAAAAGCCTGGGAAGAAAGAGGCTGGGGAAGGAGCTACTTGGGGCATGCAGGCTTTGAAAAGCATCTGTGTATACAGGGGAATCTAAAAAATACCCGAGAAGATCTTAGGCTCCATCTCTGACTACCTTTTAGGCTCTGTGCAAGCAGGAAGTGAAGGCTAAGGTAGAGTTGTAAATGGCCTGGCTAAGCCTTGAAGGAGAGCCCCAATACCCAGCCAATCTGCAAAGACTGAGAGAGTGTTTTTTATTTTTGGTTCTAGATATTTAAGAAAATATCTGTGAAATCACTGGCTGACTGTTACTCTAGTAAAATAAAGACTTCAGTGAGCATACAAGATGAAAAATATCTTTATAAAAATATCTGTATAAAATATCTTTATAAAAATCTTTATAAAAATAATTTAGAAAAGTCACTAAACAAACACCTAGAACCCACAACAAGCAACAACAATGAATTCTTGGGGAGGGGGACAGAGAGACTCCCATTTCTAGTGATACCACAGCATTATATTCAAAATATTCCATTTTCAACAATAAAAAAAATTACTAGGCATGTGAAAAATAAAAAAGTATAACCCATTCATAGGAAAAAATTAATTAAAAACTCCCTGAGGAAGCCCAGACATTGGACTTACCAGACAAGACTTCAAATCAACTATCTCGCTAACTGACCTAGCTCCATCTACCTCTTCTACCTCACCTTGTATCAGTCAATGCTTTGCTCACTATTGCCAGTCACACTGGCCATCTTGGTGAGCTTCAGACCATCAAGCTTATTCCTGCCTTCAGATATGCTGTGTACTCTCTTCTGGAACATTCTCCCATTTTGTTGCATAGTTCACTCCATACAGTCTGTCTCTGTTCATATTCCACCTCCTCAGAGGCACCTTTCCTGACTACTTAATCTAAAATGGCTATGCTCATCCCAACTTCCTACAATTTTTGCTCCCTTTCATTGTTAAGTTCATCACTCTTTGAAATTACTTTCATTCATTCATCCTTTGTTGACTGATTTATGATTGATTGATTTTATTTTCCCCTTACTAGAAGGTAAGCTCCTTGGCAGCAGGTGCTTTATTTGTATCATTTACTGTGGATCACCCTCCTATAACAGTGAGCGAGGCTAAATAAATGCTTATCAAATGAACAAAGATGATTTATATGTGTTGAATAATAATAAAAAATATAAAAAGCTTATAAAATTCTTCTGAGAAGTCTCCCTCAGTTCAGAAATTTTGCTCACTAGCTGTTCGGTGAATCTACTAGAGGAAATCTGTCCATTGGTGATGCTTCAAATGAAGTGAGAGAACAAAATGTCTGATGCCACCATGGCCTGTCATTTCCTTCCCAGGGAAGGTAATCATAGGCATGTTGGGGGTAGTGGTGAGAAAACCTCTGCCTCCCTGTAAGCACTGGCTTGGTCAGGGAATGAGTGTGTGTCAGTTAGCTGCAGGCTAACCTCTATGTGTGGTCCCCTGAGACCAAGAAAGCCAGAACAGTTTTGGTGGTAGCAGTGACAGAGGTGTCAAGATTTCGAAGTAGTACTATCTTTGGCAGAGGTTCAAAACAGGGTGGGTAATATAAAAATGCTGCTACATATTGCCTTGAGCTTAAAATAAAAGCGGGGACAGTAGATTGACTGGTCTTTGTCTCTTCTTGTTCTGTAACTTCAGAATCATTGCCCAGAGAAAAGAGTTCTTCTTGATTCTGGCAAGTTCTAAAACAACCTGAGAGGAGAAATTATTCTGTAGAACTAAATTTATGAACAGCTGTGGGCTTATCTCATTAAGGATTAAACAGTTTTCATTTTGGATGAAAATCTTTCTAGAACCTATTATATACATCCTCTACCTTTTCATTACATTAACTACTTTCCTTTCTTCCCAAATTCACTATAATGAGCTCAGCAACATCTTCCCAGGCAGTAGGGCATCCTGATAAGCATGTTGCTTCTGAAGCCAGACAGCTTGGATTCAAAGCTTGGCTTTGCCACTCACCTGTTGGGCAGGTTAACACTCTATGCCTCAGTTTCTTTATCTGTAAATAGGGATAATATTAGTACCTTCCTCATAGGTTCTTGTAAGGACTAAATGAATTAATACATGTCATATACTTAACACATTGCCTGGGATATAGTACTGCTTGGAAAATGTTTGCTGCTGCTGCTGCTATAACTATACTGTTACAATTATTACAACAGCAAGTTTTCTTTTGGTGTCTTGAGCTCGTTATAAAGATGATAAATTATAATATGCTGCAACCTAGTGATAACTTCTTAAAGGGCACAGCATTATTGGCTTTTACATAAAATGGCCCCAGACTGATTTGCTGGAGTGGTCTAATACGCTGTTTTACAGCTCTTGTATTTTCCTTTGTGAAGTCCCCTTTTCACTTCTCACTGTTGTTGCTAATTTTTCATATCTATATCAGCCTTTTCCATGCTTCCATTTTTGCAGGAGGCATAAAAAAGAGTTAACCAATTTGTTAGACATGTGTGTTAAGTAAAAGCTAATATATTCTAAACTAAGTTGAAAAAATTCTTCTATGGATGGAGAGAAGAACTTGAGTCCATGGACAACTCTTTTGACTATTCAGAGGTATTTTATTTGTTATTGTTTCTTGCTTCTTAGATAAATATAAAAAGTTACTATAAAAGTAAGTTTCTGGGATAATAGATGTAACAATGGTAATACATAAAGTTAAAATTAACAAACCTCTAATTGAGTTCAAATAAATACTCATTACAGTCCTATTACATGCTAGATACAACAAAAATGAATGATATGGTTCTGAACTATAAGAAGCTTGCAATTAAGAAGAGGAGATAAAGTATAAACAAACAATATCAAGATAACATAGCTAGAGATACTAAAGATTTTAGACTAGGTATTACAGGAGTCTAGAGGAAGGGCCCTTAGCCTAACCTGGGGATTTTAGGGAAAGCTTCCTGAAAGAGGATCATGCCTAAACTGAGCTTGATGACAGCCAGGTGAAGAAAGGTTAGATGGGCTATTCTAAGCATGGAAACATGAGAAGTGATGAGACAGGAAGCAGCATAGTGCTTTCGTGAGAGTATGTAGCTGTGGGTATAAATAATAGAGTTTGATATTGCTGTGATTAAAAAATGAGATGGGAAATGGTGGGAAATGAAGCTAGGAGGTAGATTATAGGGAACAGATTCAAGAGGTCCTCATATGTCATGCTGAGAAGCTTGAATATTACTTGTTAAGAGATGAGAAGCCATTAAGAACACTTGGAAAAAAATGGCAGTTTGCAGATTTTCACTTTAGATGTATAACTCAGTGAGCAGTGTAAAAGACAGCAAAACTAGAAAAGACTGTGGGAAGAGGGACCAGTTACGTGGTTGTTGCAATTAACAAGCTAGAGATAGTAAGAACTGAAAGGAGACAAGGCAGCAAGGATGCTGTGGAAGAGAGGGTCCCAGATGTATTTGGAAGATAAAATTGGAAGGTCCTGGCGACTTATTAGATGAGTTGGGGACAAGGCGGAGAGAAATCTAGGATGGCCTCGAGTTACTAGGAAGATGATAATTTAACTGAGGGAGAAATAGGTGGGTTTTTGTTTTTTGTTTTTTAATTTAGTTTCTTTTTTTTCTTTTGGGGGGTGGGCATAGGAGGATAAAATAGTGAGTTCAGGCTGGGACATATTAAGCCTGAGGTAATTATGGGAGAAGTATGAACTGGAGATATTTTAGAGTAATTAACAATAGATAGAATCATGAAAGCAAATGGCAGCCCCTAGATAAAAGTAAGAAAAGAGAAGAGCAGCAGAACAACAGTGAGATATCAAAAGAGGGACAGAGGTAGATGGCCCATGAAAGAAACTGAGACTCCATATTGAGAGACACAGGGAGAGAACAGCGCCATGAAAGCTAAAGCCACATATGAGTTTTAGATATAGTGGTCAGTAAAGTTAAACACACTCATAACAGCTACATTTTCTGAGCACTCACTACATGTCAGGCACTTTGTGGTTTTATATACCATATCTCATTTAATGTATTATCCACATGGTACAGATGATGAACCTGAAGTTCAGAGAAGTCATGTAACTTACCTGAGGTCATAGGGTAAACTGGCAGAACTGGGATCTGAAACCAGGTCTGCTGGATTACAAAACCCATGTTCTTAACTCTGCTGGAGTAAAATAACTTCTTGAAGATGCAACTTAGTATTATCATAAGGACTGCTATATATTGCTTTTCCAAGAAGCATATCTTAAAACCTGTCTAGTAATCTCAAAATAACATTTAATGTCTAATGAGGTCATTATGTATCTGATCACTTTATAACATCAAAATAGGTGATTTCAGTGATACCTTTTAATAATCTTTTTATTTCATAAATACTACACTGGTCAAATTATGAGAACAATAAGGTACTATACAAGACAATCCACTCAATTGAGTAAAGCCCAGCTCCAATAAACCCAAAAGGAAGGTCCTCATTGGACTAGCTAGTGTTCTTCACAGGAAAACGAAGTGCCTTGGACTTAGATCTAAGCATCCTCAGCTCTCTCACAGGTTTACTGTTGGTCCCAGGGAGAGTCAGAGAGAGTATGCATAATTTAGCACAAACCTACCATAAATGTGGACGATTTCATTAAATTATACATTCTACGGAAGGTTTATTTTAGATAATAAATGATTATCCATTAAAGAGAGAATAAGAAAGTCACATTTCGATTATAAAAGTTGTAATTTTTTCACTTCCCACTAGAGGAAGCAATAGCATTACTCTTACCATTTGGTGGGTAAAAGACAGCATATTCTTCCAGTCCTAGTTTTCCTATAAGAGAAAACCATAGAGGATTTCAATATGATTAAGTAAATAAATCTTTAAAAATCAACTTATTTTGTGAATGTACTAACAATGGAATTTTAAAAACTACTATAAACTGATATGTCATTTCATGATATGGAATTTAGTTAAAAATTTACCAGCCAATCTTTTGGTATTAGCAAACTTTTTCATAAATTAAAGTAATACGAACCTAAGTGCAACAGAAGCGACACAAAACAACCAAAAGAACAAACACTTTCAAGTTCCTTAGGCACTTAAGAAGAGAAATATCTATTTATTATGCATAAAATTTTTTGCTAATTATAAATAAGTCTAATCTATTCATTAAAGCAAGTCTTAAGCTTTGCAATACTGTGTTTACATCTTTATGGAATGTGCTGAAAGTTAAAAATTAAATGACCAGCTGTATGGTGGTCATATTTTCTGAATACCAGAACAGTTAACATGATTTCAGAATGGGGCTGAATATTTGAAATCAGAATTGTCCCAGAAAAGTAAAGTATATTCACAATAATCAAATATTTAACAGAGTTTTAAAAAGTATCTTTCCTTCAAAACTCTGAAAAGTTCTCAGTTTTTTCCATCTTCCACTGAATATCTTTAAATAGCTTTTACCTTGACAGTTTTTCTAACACTTTTGAGTTTATTGAAAAGTTACTTGTATTTTTGTACTGGGCTAAGAGGAATATTTTTAGTGAAAAAAAAAGTTCTTTTTATTTTTGTTAGGGGTGGTGACAGAGATGAAATGAAGAATAAGAAATGTAAGCAGTTCAGGTTAGGGTGGAGACAAAAAGGACTGATCTTGTGAGCAAGAAGAGAATGGAATAATGAATAGGTGGGTAGGTAGGTAGGTAGATAAAACTGATTACTGGACTAGGTGCTGAGAGGCAAACCCTCAACCATGTGGTTTGTAGTCCAGACTAAACCATGAAACATTAGGGTATATTTGCTAACTTTTCTAGCATAGACTTTAAGTGTTTAGAAGTTCAAAGGAGAGAGAAATGGATGATGGGTTGGTGGACATGGTGAGGTACAGGCTAGTTCTTCAAGGAAATATGATTTTTAAGATTGGAGAGTGGGAAGCCTTCCATAGGCAGGGACTATAGGGAGGCTAGAATGAATATGGGGTATTGTGGAATAATCAGGGAAGCAAAGTTAGTTAGGTTAAGACAGTATCAAGTGGTAAAAGGCCTTAAAATCCTGGCTGAGTTTAGAGGTGAGCTCAGTAGATAATTAAGTTTACAATCGGTTTTTCAGCAGATGACTTAAAGAAACAAATAAAAGGTTTCCATAAATTGAATTTAGAAGCAATGGACCTCAGAAAACCTTAAGTTAGGGGTAGCCCAAATCCAGCACAAGGTTATGTGGCCTCTCCTAGGGTAGGAGGTGGAACAATCAGGCAGATAGTTCAGACATAAGAGATACAGGAGAAACAGTTTCTTTTTTCGTGGAAATGGCAGAATGACCATATACAATGAAGTCTGAGCTTTCAGCGTTAGGTGTTCACTATTTAATAAAAAGGAAAAGTTGGGAAGGGCATTCAGCTGAAGTTATTTATATCTTCAGATGACGGCAGGATATTGATATTTTATAAGCAGCTGGTGATAAAGAGGAGAAAAATAACTAAACTAGAAATTGGAGAGCTAAAAGCATATAAATTATATCAAAGTTTTAAGTGTGGTGGAGCATTTTGAGAGAAGAAATACAGATTTTTTAAAAAGTAGAAAAAGCAAATCTGTGTTATAAACTCATAGAAAGAAAAAGAAAAGTCAACAGATAAGACATAAAAACAACAATAAATGGTAGAGTACACAGGGAAGACAGAGAAAGTAAGTTGAAATGCTGCTTCTGGGAACCACTTTCCCATGATTTGTGATAAATTACTTGGGCACTGATTTGAGGTATGAAAGGATGATTACGGTCATCTGAGAGAAATCTTAAGTAACTTATAGTAAAATAATTTGGCAACACCACTATCTCCAAAAAAAAATATTCTTGGCATGATTATGTAAGTCTCAATACTTCCTTAAAATTATTAAAAATTTACCTCTTATGTATGATTTTGGTGGCGAGGCACTGTTGTATGCAAAGTGACTCAACACAGATGTATCCCGGGAAAAACAAAGTAATACCTGAATATAACATTGGAAAAAAAAAAGCAATTAAGCACTATTATAAAACTAGGTAATTCATTATTTCCTATTCAGGAGGCATCCTTCAAGTTCAAGTACCATGCCTTGCAGTGGGAAGAATGCCCTTTATCGGTATACCTTTGGTAAGCATTACAGTGGGATGCCAAGTTCTTCCGAAGAGTTCTCACCATTTGCTACCTCAACTTTGAAGAACAGAAAATGCAAACTGCTAACTAACAGTTGATTATTCTCTTGTGTTTTCTATCTGGACAAGAGAAACACCTGGGAGAAATTTAACAGATGAAAAATGTATGGAGAAGACCCTGAATAACTATTGTGACATAGAGCAATTTGGGAAGTGCAGGAAATGAACTTGACTCTTGCTGGGATGCATCAGGCAGTTAGGCATGTCAGGGTGGGAGGGAAGGCAACTCGTGGTACTTAGAAAGGATAGCAGCAGCAGTAGAACAAGTGGTTGCCTAATAAAGGGTAGAAGCTAAATAGGGTAGAGTATGTCAACCCTACATGGAGATGAAAATAGGCACAGTAGAAAGTCAGGAACCAGGATGTCCATTAGGAGGTACTAGATTGAGGACACCAGCCTGGAATTTGGGAGCAGGGGTCCAAGACCCAGTAAGGCCATTAGTGACAGGAAATCTGAGTCCTGGTATTAGAATATCTGGGATTCTAAAAATATTACCAAGATAAGAATTCAAGATGACTGAAAAGGCAGAACAGGGGCACAGAGTCAGGGCTGAACTAGCAGCAAGAGTGAAGGCAGAGGAAAAATCCTTGTGTCCAAGACACAAGAAAGGGGATACAGCTTTGGAAAAAAGGATAGGTAATGGAGATTGGGCATCAGTCAGGTTTAATGGTGGAATGCGTATCAACCACTGCCACTGCATTGTTTTCATTATATTTTAAATGACTACATAAGTGATACATATTAATGATAAATTTAGAAATATAGAGTATTGGCTGGGCGCGGTAGCTCACGCCTATGACCCCAGCACTTCGGGAGGCCAAGGCAGGAGGATCACTTGAGCCCAGGAATTCAAGACCAGCCTGATCAACATGGTGAAACCTCATCTCTATTTAAAAAAAAAAATTAAATTAATTTTAAAAATAAAGAAATATAGATGATCAACAAAAGGGGAAACAGCCATAATCCCATCAGTCTTAATAATTTGAGGTATATCCTTTCAGACTGTTTTTTAACATACTCATACATATAATTTTTTCAAACCAAACAGGATTATACATAGTTTCCTTTCACTATTGTAAGATAAATATTTCCTACACATTTTTATGTTGTAGAATATTCCACTGTATGAAAGAACAATAATTTATTTAACCTGTATTGTTGTTGAACATTTAATTATTTCCACTTTTCCCCAACGACAAACAACACTAGAGTGAATTTACTTATGGCTAAATATGTACACCTTTAGTTATTTTAATTCCAAAAACTGGACCACCTTTCTGGTCAATTGCTTTGGGCATTTTTAATTGAACCATGCCTCTCCCACATTTTCTTTATCTACTTCTGCCTGACTCCTGGGGGCTGTAAGATTTACCTACACATATGCAACCTGCCATGACTTTTACTTACTTTTATCCCCCCTGTTCCATTCTGGATGACTTCCTCAGATTATTTTTTAGTCAGTTCACTAATTCTCTTCTTCTGCCCCTATTATGCACCAGGTACTGTTCCTTGTGTTTGGAATATATAAAAGGAAACAAACAAAACACCTCTTTTATGGAGTTTAATTATGATGGAGCAAAATGTGTGTGATAAATAGCAAATATGATAGATAATTATATTATATAGTATATTAGGTAGCAAGTGCTATGGAAACAAGATAAAGGGGAACACAGAAAGAGTGGCTGACACTTTAAAGAGGCTGTTCAGGGGAGGTTTCCTTGAGAAGGTGATACCTAATCAAATATTGAAAGGAGTTGAGAAACTTAGCATGTGGATATATGTGCAAGAGCATTCCAGGAGACTTGTTAGGAGACTATTGACAGTAGCTTTCACTAAGATGGCAGCAGTGTGTGGCAGATGTATGACACACCACCCAGAGAGCCTCCTCTAGGAATGAAGGACTGACTTATAGCAGCTGGTAGTGCTGTAGCAAATAACCCTCAGCAGCCAGCTCTTTTCATGGACTACCTCTGCTGAAGAGAGCTATTTTGCTCAAATATCAAGGTCACGCCCGTTTCCTGAAATGGCCTACATCTGATGAAGAGGATGCAAGGGAAAAAAGTCTGAAATTCTTGTCCCCAGCTCAGGATGGGTCTGACAGTTTATCCCATCTTTAGAACTCTCTGCAGCATTGGCTGAGGGTTTCATTTAAACTGTATTGCAGCTAGACTTGTCCTTATGCTCAATCTTGCTTCATTCACTGGACTTTTACATGTGTTGATTCCAAGAGCACTCCCTAATAAACCTTTGGCCTGCTGGTCTCCATCTAAATTGGCTTCCCTGGGAACCCATCTTACAACACAGTGAAAGTGGGAAAAAGTGGTCAGATTCTAAATACATTGTGAAGGCAGGGCTAACAGGAGTTACTGATAGATTGAGATGATATTTTGCAGAAAGACAGGAGTCAAGGAGAGTAACATGTGGAAGTTGAAAGTAGAAGGATGTTTGATCTCAGCAAGTGGAATGCCTTTAACAGGGAAAGTGGCAGGCAGAACAGTTTGGGGAGCGAGATCATGGGTTCATTTTTCAACATGCTAAGTTTGAGATGTCTGCAAGACACCTAAATGGAAAAATTGAAGAGGTAACTGGAGATATTTGTATGGAGTATAGAAGAAAAGTTTAAACTGAAGATACAAATTTGAGAGTTATCAACATATAGATGGTACTGAAAGCCACAAAATAGGTGAGCTTGGTGAAATCATCAAGTAAGTGAGTGTAACTAGAGAAAAGGAGACCAAGAACTGAGACCTGAGGCATTCTAGGATATTGGAGAAAAGAGAAGGAACCAGCCTAGACAACGGAGTAGTGAGTAACCATCAAAAGTGGATTTACCATGATGCTCTGTGAGTGCTGCAAGTTGCTGAGAGACACAGAGTGTCCTAGGCAAGGAAAGTAAGTCAGTGTGTAATCAGAAAGCATTTCTATGTATGTGTCTAGTAAACTGCTTAATAAGATCTCAGAAGAAAAAGACCTGAATCTCTATAGTTCTAATAATTTGTTACAAATTTTTCCTCATTCAAAACAAAAATACATGTTCTTATCTGGTTTTGTATTTATAATATGATACTCTCTGTCTTAAAGAAGGCCCTCCAAATTGTATAAGCTTTAGGTCTGCAAAATGCTGAATTTGCCACTGGTGACTAGAAAAATAAGAGGAAAACTAAAAAGAATGTGGTGTCTTGAAACCCAAGTGAAGAAACAGCACAAATGAATCATATGCTGTTGAGAGATTAGTTAAAAGGAGGGTGGATAATTGGTCATTGGATTTAGTTCTTGATGACCTTGACAAGAGTAGTTTCAGCTCAAGTGGTAGGAGCACCATACACAATGTTTGGTACCTGCTTTTTTAAACAAACTTAATGCATTAAAGAGATCTTTTCGTATCAGTATATACAGAGCTGCCTCATTTTTTTTCTTTTTTTGTTTTTTTGGTAGAGACAGGGTCTATTTATGTTGCCCAGGCTGGTCTTGAACTCCTGGGCTCAAGTAATCCTCCTGCCTCAGTCTTCCAAAGTGCTGGGATTACAGGCGTGAGCCACTGAGTTTGACCCACTGCATTCATTTTTAAGGGCTGTATCATGTTTCACTGAATATGTATTCCATGATTTATTTAATGGGTTACTCCCCAATATATGAACATTCATTTTCAACTTTATGCTGTTTCTGACAATACCAAAACAATTAGCCTTTTACTGCATCATTTTACACATATGAGTGTCTCTGTAGAACAAATACACAGGAATAGAATTGCCCAGTCACAGAGTATACGCATTGAAAAATGTGATGGCTATTTGGCTGTATATTTATATCCCTTGTTTTCTTTTTCCAGCATTTCCATATGTTTACAGTCTAAAAGGGGGCTGTGTAAGTTCAATCCCTTATGTTGCCTAACTCTATTTTCTATTACATAGTCTAAATGATTATTACTCATATTTAAAAGAGTAAGGGATTTTAATATTTTATTTGGTAAAGAGGCAGTTAACTGAATCATCTTATTAGTTCTACTGGCTTTCAGTCCAATCCCTTGAATTTTTAAATATCTATAGTTAACAATAATGTTGTGTTCTTTCTGTTATTTATTACTTTATTTTTCTTATTGTATTGTTGAGAAATTCCAAAACGATATGTTCTTTCCTTCCTTTAGTGGGAACATCTCTAGTATTTCACTAATGAGTAACATTTTTTTTTTTTTTTTTTTTTTTTGAGACGGAGTCTCGCTCTGTCGCCCAGGCTGGAGTGCAGTGGCGCTATCTCGGCTCACTGCAAGCTCCGCCTCCCGGGTTTACGCCATTCTCCTGCCTCAGCCTCCCGAGTAGCTGGGACTACAGGCGCCCGCCACCTCGCCCGGCTAATTTTTTTTGTATTTTTAGTAGAGACGGGGTTTCATTGTGTTAGCCAGGATGGTCTCGATCTCCTGACCTCGTGATCCGCCCGTCTCGGCCAACTTACATTAATATCACCAATGTTGGTTTCAAATAAACACTATTATGTCAAGAAAACATATTAATACTTGATTTCTAGTGTATAAAAAGTTAGTATAAAAATGAATATTAAGTTGCAGAACAAATAGTGCTAAACTGTACCCTTAGAAATGGTTAAGTCATCAATTTTATGTTGTGATTTGTTTTACTACAATTAAATTTTTTTAAATTGATATTATCAAATACGGTCACATAAATTTTTGGCATCTATTAAGATAAACATGAATTTTATTTTTTGACTTATTAATATAATAAATATTTTCCAATAATTAAGAAAAACCATTGGGCTCTAAAAATTCTTAATTTATAAATAT